TCCTACCGCTGGGCCTCAGCCTCCTCCCGTTGCAGTGGCGGAGCATGGCCTGCATGGGGCACCCCAGACCATACCGCGCAGCCCCACTGCCAGCCTGGGGGGCTGTCAGCGATTGGGACGGGACCGAGGGGGCTCGGGGAACCCCAACGGCCCAGCCCTGGTGCGTGACTGACCCTCTCCTTTCCAGAGCCCTCAGCGAAGGCCGGGATGTTCGTCCTGGTGGAGATGGTGGACACCGTGCGGATCCCCCCGTGGCAGTTTGAAAGGAAGCTCAACGACTCCATTGCTGAGGAACTGAACAAGAAGTTGGCCAACAAGGTACTGGGCCCACGGCTCGCGGGCAGGACTTGGCACGGAAGAGCCCAGGATGGGGACTGGAGAATGTTGCAGGTGTTCAACAGAGAAAATGGACTTGGAAAAGGGCGTTGTAACGGGAAGTGTTAGATTCCACACGTCCAAATTGCCTTACAATCTTAGGCAGGTTACTTACCCCCTCTGGGCCTCAGGTTTCATTGGTAAAATGGGGTTAAAATGTTGCTGTCCCACCAAGCATGCGTTGCTTTAGTGAAGATGGACATCCCTAGCAGTATAGGGTTAGCTGTCAGGAGCCTTATCCATCTATGTCTGCCTTCTTCGTGCCTGTGCGTCTTAGGGCCAGCTGGTGAGAGGCCTTCCCACTGCCTTTCTTTCTCTCTTTCTTTCTCTCTTTCTCTCCCTCCCTCCCTCCCTCCCTCTCTCTCTCTCTCTCTCTCTCTCTCTCTCTTTCTTTCTTTCTTTCTTCTGTCTCATTCTGTTGCCCAGGCTGGAGTGCAGTGGCATGATCACAGCCACTGCAGCCTTGACCTGCTGGGCTCAGCTTCTGAAGTAACCAGGACTACAGGCGCGCGCCGCCACGGCAGATTTTTTTGATCTCTTGTAGAGATGGCTCACCAAGTTCCCCAGACTGGTCTTGAACCTGTGGGTTCAGGCAGTCCTCCTGCTTCTGCCTACCAAAGTGCTGGGATTACAGGTGTGAGCCACCGCACCTGGCTTCCCACTGCCCTTTTTTTTTTTTTTTTTTGGAGTTGGAATCTCACTCTGTCACCCAGACTGGAGTGCAATGGCCGCTCCCAGCCACCGCAGCCTTGACCTGCTGGGCTCCGGCAGTCCTTCCGCCTCAGCCTTCCAAGTAGCTGGAACTACAGGTGCACACTACCACACCGGCAATTTTTTTTGATTTATTGTAGAGATGAGGTCTCGCCAAGTTGCCCAGATGGGTCTCGAACCCACGGGCTCAGGCAATCCACTCACCTCGGCCTCCCAAAGCGCGGGATTACAGGCTGAGCCACGGAGCCTGGCTACCGCTGCCTTTCTTTTATTTTATTTTATTTTATTTTTTTGAGTTGGAGTCATACTCTGTCGCCCAGACTGGAGTGCAGTGGCCGCTCCCGGCCACCGCAGCCTCGACCTGCTGGGCTCTGGTGATCCTTCCGCCTCAGCCTTCCAAGTAGCCGGAATTATAGGCACGCCCTACCACGCCCAGCTAATTTTTTGATTTGTTGTAGAGATGAGGTCTCGCCTGCCCAGGCAGGTCTCGAACCCACAGGTTCAGGCAATCCACTCACCTCAGCCTCCCAAAGGCGCGGGATTACAGGCTGAGCCACTGAGCCCGGCTGGTTACTGTTTTTCTTTCCCTCTCCATGAGGGCAGAGGCACTGTTTGTCTTCTTGCCTGTAGTTTCCCCACATTTAACCAGAGCCTGGCCCAGAGTAGATGTTCCATAATTGTCTGTACTGTAGTGTGGTGGGAAAAGCAGACATGAATGAGGGCCCCACAGTTGAGTGTGTGAGGACAAGTTGAAGTAAATGCTATGAAGGACAGGTGTTCATACGTCTGTGGAACAAAGGAACTTCACCTGGAATGAGGAGGCCTGCAGCTTTATTGAGGAGATGCTGCTTGGGTTAAGATTTGATGGTGAGGAGGAACCAACCAGATTTCTTTTTGGGGTGAGAAGTGGCTGGGTGGAGAGAAGAGCTCTACTGGTAGGAAACAGCATGTGCAAAGGCCCTGTGGAAGAAGGGGCTGTAGCACTTACCATGGCATGGAGGAGGCTGGTGTGGCTTAGGCAGAGGGGTCAGGCCACACAGTACTTCACAGTCAGGGTATTGGTCTCCAACCATAGAACAGCAGGAGGTGATGGGCTGAGAAGGAGCCAGAAAGGAAGTTTGACTGGCTTTAGACATGAAGCAGGTCCCTTTAAAAGAATTTGAGGTCGATTTGGGGTTTGTTAGGTGGTGGAGAGAACTCATGGAGTCCTTACTAGATGACTGCTAGTTACTTTGTGAGATAAAAGGTGAGGAGGGGAACAAGATACGAACCTTGTGGAGAGAGAAATGAAAAGCCCAGGAAGGCAGTGTAGTCCCTTTGGGGCACAGGTCCTGTTGAGACAAGTCTTTCTATATTTGAGTCACTGAATCATTTAAGAGGAGGCTACACAGAAGAGGTCCATGGTATGGTCTATGGTCCTTGTACTTCCAAAGCCACCTGGACTCTGGCTTCATCTTGCTGACGTCTGGTCACAACTCTGAGTTCTCCGAGCTTTTCACTAATCTTTGGACAGTTCCTGAAACTTTGTAACTGGCGGGGGTGGTTGATGATATTTGTGGCAGATAAGCAGACACTGAGTGGCCAGTTGTTCGCAACACCATGGTATGGGGATGGGACATGGGATTTCTGTACAGTCTCAGGGCTATGTGTCCCTCTGCCAGCTGCAGTCCTGTGGCCACATCTGTGTCTGAGTTGTGAGCACAATTGGGTTTAGTTATGGTTCTGATGCCCACTAAGTGGTGAGCTCTGGCATGGATTTGGGACATTGGAAAGTATAGGCTTAACAGGGATTCCTGTCACTGATCCTTACCAGCAACAACAATGACCCCTGATTGATTGTTATTGCTAGTACGTGAGCCAGGTACCAGGATGGGGCTTCACATCCATTTCCATTCTGTTTAACAACCCCGCAGGCCGGGTGCGGTGGCTCAAGCCTGTAATCCCAGCACTTTGGGAGGCCAAGGTGAGAGGATTGCCTGAGCTCAGGGGTTCGAGACCAGCCAGGGCAACTTGGTGAGACCTTGTCTCTATAATAAATAAAAATAAGCCGGTCATAGTAGCGTGTACCTGTAGTTCTGGCTACTTGGGAGGCTGAGGCGGAATGATTGCCTGAGCCCAGCAGGTCGAGGCTGCAGTGACTGTGAGCGTGCTGCTGCACTCCAGCCTGGGCGATAGAGTGAGGCTCAAAAAGAATAAAATAAAAAAGCAACTCTGCAGCCTGGTATTTCATATTTGCAGATGGGGAGACTGGGGCTTAGAGAGGTGAAGTGACCCTGGGCAATCATGCAGTGAGTGGTGGAGCTGGCCTTTGAAGCTGGATTTGTCTTGTCACCAAAGGCACTGCTCTTTCCAGAATGCCACACCCTTCTGAGGTTCCTTACCACAGTTACCTCTGCAGAGCTCCAGCATGTTTTCCTCTAAAAAAAAAAAAAAAAGGGATAGGCTGGTCACAGTGGCTCATGCCTGTAATCCTAACACTTTGGGAAGCTGAGGCAGGAGGATTGCTTGAGCCCAGGAGTTTGAAGATCAGTCTAGGAAACAGCAAGACCTTGTCTTTGTGAAAAGTCAAGGTTGGGCATGGTAGCTCATGCCTATAATCTCAGCACTTTGGGAGGCCAAGGGGAGAAGATTGCCTGAGCCCAGGGGTTTGAGACCAGCCTAGGCAACTTGGTGAGACTTCATCTCTACCATAAATCAAAAATTAGCCAGGCATGGTGATATGTGCCTGTAGTTCCAGCTACTTGTAAGGCTGAGGTAGAAGGATCACCCAAGCCCAGCTGGTCGAGGTTGCAGTGGCCATGAGCATGCCACTGCACTCCAGCCTGGGTGACAGAGTGAGACTCCAACTCAAAAAAAAAAAAAGGTGAAAAAATTAACCGGGTGTGGTGGTACATGCCTGTAGACCCAGCTACTTGGAAGGCTGAGGTGGAGGGTTTGCTTGAGCCCAGGAAGTCAAGGCTGCTATGAGCCATGATCGTGCCACTACACTCCAGCCTGGGCAAGAGAGTGAGACCCTGCCTCAAAACAAAAAAAGGATAATCATGGCTTGCTTGTGGTTGTGAGGGGCTCATACTGTCTTGGTAGCTGGGCCTCGGGATCACTCTGTGTTTGTCTGTGTACGTATGCATGCAGGTCGTGTACAATGTGGGACTCTGCATCTGTCTATTTGACATCACCAAACTGGAGGATGCCTATGTGTTCCCAGGGGATGGTGCGTCACACACCAAAGGTGGGTATCTTCTCTTCCTGGGGCATTGGGGCTCAATTTTCTGTAGCAAAAGGTCAAGCCAAAGCCAGGTGCAGTGGCATGTGCCTATTGTCCCACCTACCTGGGAAGCTGAGGCAGGGGGATCACTTTAGTTCGGGAGTTTGAGGCTAGCCTGGCCAACATAGTGAGACTCCTGTTTCTAAGAAAAATAAATTAGTTAAGTAAAAAAAATCTTTTAAAAGTCAAGCCACAGATTTGGCTGGAAGACGATGGGAATCCTGGGGGGTCAGCAGACTTGGGGCTTAGTCCTGAGTCTGCCAGGAAGTGACTCAGTGGCAATGGGAAGATTTTCTCCTCTCTGGCCCTCGGTTTCTTCATCTGTAAGACCCAGAAGGTAGACTACGTGATTTTCAGGCCTCTGTAGCTCTTAAGATTTCAAGGCCTCTGCAGCTCATTAAGATGGGTAATGGTCTCACCCATTACCAAGCCTTGCTCTTTGCTCTTGCTCTTTGCCCAGCCCTTAGGCTGCTCACTTCCTGTTTGGAGACAGGCTAGACAGGTGAGGACACTGTGGAGTGGTCATTGCTGGGTTGGGTGTGGAGAGCAGAGGGAAGGGGAAAGGACAGGCTGGCTGGGGGTGTGGGACTTTGAGGGCCATAGGATGTAATAAGTAAGAGTGTGGCCTCGGGATTCAAAGCCCAACTCTGCCACTTAGTGTGTGGCCTGAGCAGAATATGTAATCTCTCTGTGCCTCAGTTTCCTCATCTGTAAATGGCAGTTAATAGACTTTATATTCCAGAACTATTGTGATTAAGGAATTAATACATGTACAGCTCTTAGGACGAGGCCTTGGCACCTAGTGAATACTCAGTGGCTTATAAATTTGGATTGTTCATCCCAAGTTTGTTGGGTCAGTTGGGTGACATTTTTCTGGCTGGCTGGGCTTGGACTGGACTATCTAGGATAGCTTCACATTTTTGTGGTTGGCAGACTGGTTGGTCCAGGGGTCCTGGGCTGGGCTAGCTCATCTCTGTTCCACATGGTCTCATCTTTCAGTAGGGCAGACTGGGCTTGGCAGTTTCAAGGTTCCAAAGCTCAGCACATAAGCACTTCTTATGCTTGTCCCATTGGCCAAAGCAAGTCACGTAGCCAAGGCCTTGGTCAAGGGATGGAGACATAGACTCCACTTCTGGTTAGGAGACAGAGTGCAGTTCTTATTACAAAGGGGTATGCATCCAGGGATGGGAGGGTGGTTACCAGATTCTGGAAGGAGGGGGAAGTAGAGAGAGCCATCTTGAGAGGAGCTAATGACTGCCAGGTTGGGAACCAGGTGGGAGGTGTGGAGCAATCTCATGGACCTAGATTTGAATTCTGGCTCTGGCTCCCCGGATGGTAAGCTTGGACGAGTAACTCCATCTCCCTCAGCCTCTATTTCCTAAAAAAAAAAAAAAAAAGCGAGCAAGCCTGTGTGAAGCCTTTGGCCAGACCTGGCACACGGAAGGGACCCGGCTCTTGGCTCCAGAGCAGCCAGCCTTTATGTCCAACATTTTCTTTTTTTTTATTTTGAGTCAGTCTCACTCGGTTGCCCAGTCTGGAGTGCAGTGGCACACTCCCGGCCACCGCAGCCTCGACCTGCTGGGCTCCGGCGATCCTTCCGCCTCAGCCTTCCGAGTAGCTGGAACTACAGGCGTGTGCTACCATGCCCAGCTAATTTTTGATTAATTGTAGAGATGAGGTCTCGCCTGCCCAGGAGGGTCTCGAACCCACGGGCTTGGAAAATCCACTCCCCTCAGCCTCCCAAAGCGCTGGGATTACAGGCTGAGCCACCAAGCCTGGCTCAACATTTTCTTTTATTTTTTCCATTGTGGTAAAAAAATATATATATATAACATAAAATTTATCACCTTAACCATATTAAGTATATGGGTCATTGGCATTAAGTATGTTCAGATTGTGCTACCATCACCACCATCCATTTCCAGAATTTTTTCATCTTCCCAAACTGAAACTCTGTACCTACTAAACAACAACTGCCCATTCCTCCTTCCCCCTAGCCTCTGGCAGCCACCATTCTACTTTCTGTCTCTATTTTTTTGTTTTTGAGTTGGAGTCTCACTCTGTTGCCCATGCTGTTGTGCAGTGGCACGCTCATGGCCACCGCAGCCTGGACCTGCTGGGCTCAGGCGATCCAAGGAGCCAGAACTACAGGCATGCGCCACCATACCCGGCTAATTTTTTGATTTATTGTAGAGATGATGTCTCACCAAGTTGCCCAGGCTGATCTTGAACCCGTGGGCTCAGACAGTCCTCTTCCCTCAGCCTCCAAGGTGCTGGGATTATAGGTGTGAGCCACTGCACCTGACTGAATTTTTTTTTTTGAGTCAGAGTCTCACTGTGTTGCCCAGGCTGGAGTGCAGTGGCATAATCACGGCTCACTGCAGCCTCGCCCTCCTAGGCTCAAGCGATCCACTTCAGCCTCCTGAGTAGCTAGAACTGTGGGCACATGCCACTACACCTGGTTAATTTTTTTTTTTTTGAGTTGGAGTCTCACTCAGTCGCCCAGACTG